ACGTGTTTACACAGATGTTCTCTTTAGAATGTCCACAAAAATAAGATGACATTTTCAAAAGCCTAGTAGAGAGCTAAAAGTGGCAATGAACTAGAACACATTTAGTGACGCTGGGTTGTATTATAAAAGTCCATACAATCATCCAACAATCGTCTGCCAGTGTGTCATACTGTGGTGGCTTGTGTGTTGCTATGAGGCCAGAAACTGAGCCTTCTGTATTTTACATACCAACAGAGTCAGCTCCAGGTGGGTAGATTTCAGCAGAGCTTCCAGACCAAGATAGACCAGAAGAAGGAGAGGGAGACCATCTCTGAGTGGTTAGCCACTAAAACCATTACGAATAGCAGTGGAACATTGTCAGATATAGTGTCGGAAGATAAGTTTCTCAAGTTGAAAGGCACTCAAAATACAACTGGGTAAGACCTGCCTCCTCAAAGCAGAACTGAATGTAATGACGTGATTGGAGCTAAGCTTTTGGGACCTTCATTTGCTGATAGGACACAACTCAAAATAAGAAGAACCAACTGCACACAACCATTAATAAACAGAACCTGGAATGTACGAACTACGCTGTTATTGTTGTTAAGTGCCTTCATGTCAGATCCAACTCCTAACAGTGCTGTGTAGCATTTCTGAGGCTGTGCAACTTTCTCCCCTGGAGCAGCTGGTGGGCTTGAACTGCCAACCTTTGAACTGCAATCCAAACCAGGAAAATTGGAATTTTCAAAAATAAATTAGAATGCATAACAATAAATATCCTAGGCATTAGTGAACTGAAATGGACTGGCATAGGCCATTCTGAATCTGACAATCATGTGATTTACTACACTGGGAGATTTACTACACCGGGAAGGTCAAATTGAAGAGGAATGGCATTGTATTAATTGTTGGAAAGAACATTTCAAGATCTTGAAGTACAATGCTGTCTGTGCTAGGATAATATCCACACATCTACAAGGAAGACAAGTTAATATCATTATCACTCAAATTTATGTACCAACCACTAGAGCCAATGATGATGAAACTGAAGAATTCTACCAATTTCTTTAGTCTGAAATTGATGAAACATGCAACCAAGATACATCAGGCTCCACAACTCTGAGACCAGAAGAACTAGAGGGTGCCTGGCTACCACTACCAACTGCTCTGAAAGGGACAGCATTAGATGCCCCAAGATAGAGTGGGAAAGGACATGGAACAAAATTCAAAATAAAAAACAACAACCAGGCTTGCTGTTCAGAAAAGAGACTGGAGGAACCCAAGACTCTGGCTCTTGACTGCCCTTCATATCTGGAATGGAACTCACCCTCATGGTTCAACTGTCAGCCAAGCAGTGGATGGGTATATAAGGGGGACAACAAAACTGAGGGCTACTCACATTGGAATAGTCAGCCATTCAAGATCAAAGTGGAAACATTTACCTAGGGACAAAGTTCAAAACAGTTTGGAAGGAGGGTGGGATAGAAATAGGAACCACAGTGGGAAGACTTAATATAAAACAAAGTATATGATTTGTTGAAGACAAAGCTAATTATCTCCTCTGTAAACCTTCACTCAATTCACAATAAAAAGTTTGAAAAAAGATACATTAATCATTATTGGTGATTTGAATGTCAACATTGGACACAAACAGGAAGGATCAGTAATTGGAAAATATGGCCTCAGTGAAAGAAATGGTAATAGAGATCGTATGACAGAATTTTGGAAGACCAACGACTTATTCAAGACCAAAGACTTATTCATTGCAAATACCTTTTTAAACAACATAAAAGGTGACTATAAACATAGACCTCACCAAATGGAATACAGAGGAATCAAACTGACTACATCTTTGGGAAAAGACAGTAGAGAAGCTCAGTATCATCAATTGCTCATATGCAAGTTCAGGTTGAAACTGTAGAAAATTAAAATAAGTCAACGAGAGACAAAATATGACCTTGAACATATTATCACCTGAATTTAGACACCATCTCAAGAACAGATATGATACATAAGACACAAATGACCAAAGACCAGAAAAGTTGTGGATGACATCAAAAACATCATACACAAAGAAAGCA